TTCAAATTGCTTCAGTTGCCACTGGCCTGCGTGCTGGTGTCAGTGTCTGCGAACCCAGGCTACGCACCGTACCTCTACCACGGCCCTCCGGCGCCCTTAGCTCACGACGGGAGGGTGATCGACACGCCTGAAGTGGCTCACGCGAAAGCTGCACACTTGGCAGCGCACGCGGCCGAGGCTGCCAAAGCGTCGCCTTCCGGCTACGATTACTACGACGGGCAATACGCTTCCTTCTCCGCGGGTGAGGCGCCTAAACTGTATCACGGACCACCGGCACCCTTGGCTCACGACGGGAGGGTGATTGACACCCCGGAAGTGGCGCACGCCAAGGCCGCTCACTTGGCTGCGCATGCAGAGCAACTGTCGAAAGTCGCTCGCTTCTCTTATCCAGAACCGTACGCCCAGGCTCATTGGTGAAACGTCGACGATGGAATCATTCAGATTTTCTTATTAATTGTTAAGATTGATATATTTTCTTGTTTGAAGCTTAAACGGTTTTATTTAGGATTTTTTCATTCATTTTCTGTTTAGATTTATTGGCTCCAAAATGGAGAATTTTTATTTTTTGTTAACAGTCTAAATGTGTTTAGATTTATTGAGAATTAACTGGGTTCTTATAATGAAAAATGTACTTATAAAGCGATAATAGACTTTGGCGATAATCGTAACGAGTCGGATTTGTAATCTTATATCTGAAGGTTCGAGTCCCGATGAATGCAGTTTATAAAATGAATTATATAAGACAGAAGAGTTTTGATTGTTTATAATAAAATTATAATAACTGTTGGTTTCAAATAAATAGGAAATGGGTTTAGACTTCTAATGTTATTTCTATTACTCTAATCACCATAACCCGAAGTCCTGAAGTGGTTTTCTTCATGGTAACTCGGTTTTCCATTAATAGAATTCTGTAAAATATCATAAATGGCATGAATAATTGTGGATTGTAAGAATGACAAATATAAATGTATGTATAGTTAAATTAGAAGGTATTTAATAATAAACTGGTGCAATTAAAATTCAGTCTCTGATTTAATTCAAAAACCCTTGAATAAATATTTGTAATAAATCGTTCCTAAATAAAATATATGAGAGCCAGCTTGATAGTCTCGAGTGGATAGATGAAAAGCTGTCGTTGCAAGGAATATGTATAACACGTGTCATTGTAGTTCAATCTGATTTTCTTGATAATTCCATTTTTTCACTTCGTTGACCTTAATTAATTTCGAACTACATTCATACAAGTTTAAATGAATACTAATTTTTACTTTCACCTTAATTAATTGGAATCTGCTGCATCACACTTCCTTGATT